TAATAATAATAATAAGAACTAGAACTGCGAAGCAGTAATGACGGGTTTCACCGGTGCCACGTTACCCTTGAACTTATGTCACTTCCGGTACCAATGAAACCGTTAAACAGGTTTCCACATAAGCATTGCACACATGAAATAAAATGGACGCAGAAACAACCAAATCCAGCAATCAATTCATTTGCTACATGTCAGTGATCCTGTTATCCGGTGATAATGAAAATGTTAAATTGGTTTATGAAATCAGAAATAGCATCATCACATGGTGAAAATTTTATGTAAATCCTATAATAATTGCCACCTTTATAGACCAAAAACCTTGAAAAATGACTTGTAGAAAATCGCCTATTTCTCTGCAACCGTACAAGTTAGAAACCATTTTGAGGTATCTGTATGATCGAATGAGTTCATTCTATTTGTTGATTGGAATCAAATATCATAATTTTAAAAACATTACAAATCTGATTCATTCGAATAAAATATCTGTTTTGAAGGCTAAAAATACAGTTTTTGCCAAAATGACGTTACTTCCGGTGATAATGAAAATCTTAAATTACTTGTATGAAATCGTAAATGGCATTATGTATCACACAGTGAAAATTTCATGAAAATCGAATAATAATTGACACTTTTATTGACAAAAAACCTTAAAAAGTGACCTGTTGAAAATTGCCTATTTCTCCGCAACTGAACAAGTTAGAAACCATTTTGTGATATCTATATGATCGTAAGGGTTCATTGTATTAGTTGATTTGAATCAAATATCAAAATTTTAAACAAATAACAAATATGACTCATTTGAATAAATTACTGGTTTCGAAGGCTATAAATACAATTTTTGCCCAAATTACGTCATTTCCGGTGATATTGAAAATGTTAAATTGGTTTGACCTAGTTAAAATTGACATTACACATCAAATGGTGTCACTTTTATGAAAATCGAATAATAATTGACTCTTTTACAGGCAAACTAGCGTAAAAAGTGACTCATGCATAATTGCCCATTTCTCGGCAACTGCGCATATTACAAATTAAAGGGCGCACAATTTCAGTTATACCAGATTTGAAAAAAATAATATTTGCTTTCGAAAAATGGTACCTAACTGTCAAAATTGTAGTTTTTTGTCAATTTACGCCACTTCCGGTGCCGACAGATAACACTATTGGTAACCAAAAAAATGACAATTGAGACAACGGAGCATATGAACTTTGTTTTATACAAATCGAACAATAAATAATTAATCTAGGACTGAAAAACTGAATTAGCCAATGGGGGCCAAGGAAAATTACCGAGACAAAAAATTTTCACATTTTTGACCAAGTCAGAGGACTCGTTATATTTGTGTAAAACACGACTAAAAAATATTCATAAATAAAAAAGTTTTTTGTAAAAATTTTAATTTTCTAAATTTAGCGCCTAATATCTGCGAAGATTTGCCGAAAATCAAAAATCAAAAGTAGCGTAGCTATGTGCCCCGTCTCCGGCTATGCCAAAATGCATCGAAAGTTAAAATCCAATGATTATTGTTAAAATTACTGCAATATTTCTAAAAACGATAGCTTCGGTGATTTCGGACATTTCGCATTGTCGCAGAACGTTCAAAATAGCTTTATCCTCTAAGTCACACCCACTTTTCCGATAAAACCGAAGAAATCGTAACGATCCGACAATCAGTTGCTGAGATCTACTCAAAACAAAAGAAGAATAATAATAACTAGAACTGCGAAGCAGTAATGACGGGTTTCACCGGTGCCACGTTACCCTTGAACTTATGTCACTTCCGGTACCAATGAAACCGTTAAACAGGTTTCCACATAAGCATTGCCACATGAAATAAAATGGACGCAGAAACAACCAAATCCAGCAATCAATTCATTTGCTACATGTCAGTGATCCTGTCAAAATTACATTACTTCCGGTGATAATGAAAATGTTAAATTGGTTTATGAAATCAGAAATAGCATCATCACATGTTGAAAATTTTATGTAAATCCTATAATAATTGCCACCTTTATAGACCAAAAACCTTGAAAAATGACTTGTAGAAAATCGCCTATTTCTCTGCAACCGTACAAGTTAGAAACCATTTTGAGGTATCTGTATGATCGAATGAGTTCATTCTATTTGTTGATTGGAATCAAATATCATAATTTTAAAAACATTACAAATCTGATTCATTTGAATAAAATATCTGTTTTGAAGGCTAAAAATACAGTTTTTGCCAAAATGACGCTACTTCCGGTGATAATGAAAATCTTAAATTACTTGTATGATATCGTAAATGGCATTATGTATCACACAGTGAAAATTTCATGAAAATCGAATAATAATTGACACTTTTTTTGACAAAAAAACCTTAAAAAGTGACCTGTTGAAAATTGCCTATTTCTCCGCAACTGAACAAGTTAGAAACCATTTTGTGATATCTATATGATCGTAAGGGTTCATTGTATTAGTTGATTTGAATCAAATATCAAAATTTTAAACAAATAACAAATATGACTCATTTGAATAAATTACTGGTTTCGAAGGCTATAAATACAATTTTTGCCCAAATTACGTCATTTCCGGTGATATTGAAAATGTTAAATTGGTTTGACCTAGTTAAAATTGACATTACACATCAAATGGTGTCACTTTTATGAAAATCGAATAATAATTGACTCTTTTACAGGCAAACTAGCGTAAAAAGTGACTCATGCAAAATTGCCCATTTCTCGGCAACTGCGCATATTACAAATTAATTTTCACATACATTCTCTCCGTATAGATTATTGCTACGAGTTTATGAAAGTTACGAAGTAATATTTTAAAATATGAAAACGCTGAATGGGTTGTAAATAGCTTAATTTTACACCTTTTTTCACCTTTTAATCGAAATAGCCCGAAAACGGAATCGAAATTAAAAAAAATGGTCCCAACATTTTGTGCGCCTTTAAAGGGCGCACAATTTCAGTTATACCAGATTTGAAAAAAATAATATTTGCTTTCGAAAAATGGTACCTAACTGTCAAAATTGTAGTTTTTTGTCAATTTACGCCACTTCCGGTGCCGACAGATAACACTATTGGTAACAAAAAAAATGACAATTGAGACAACGGGGCATATGAACTTTGTTTTATACAAATCGAACAATAAATAATTAATCTAGGACTGAAAAACTGAATTAGCCAATGGGGGCCAAGGAAAATTACCGAGACAAAAAATTTTCACATTTTTGCCCAAGTCAGAGGACTCGTTATATTTGTGTAAAACACGATTAAAAAATATTCATAAATAAAAAAGTTTTTTGTAAAAATTTAAATTTTCTAAATTTAGCGCCTAATATCTGCGAAGATTTGCCGAAAATCAAAAATCAAAAGTAGCGTAGCTATGTGCCCCGTCTCCGGCTATGCCAAAATGCATCGAAAGTTAAAATCCAATGATTATTGTTAAAATTACTGCAATATTTCTAAAAACGATAGCTTCGGTGATTTCGGACATTTCGCATTGTCGCAGAACGTTCAAAATAGCTTTATCCTCTAAGTCACACCCACTTTTCCGATAAAACCGAAGAAATCGTAACGATCCGACAATCAGTTGCTGAGATCTACTCAAAACAAAAGAAGAATAATAATAATAAGAATAATAATTTTAACAAAAACAATAGTGTTTCACACAAGCTACGCAGTGTGAAACCCTAATAAGAATAATAATTTTAACAAAAACAATAGTGTTTCACACAAGCTACGCAGTGTGAAACCCTAATAATTACATTTAACTGCCACAATATAGCCTTATATTCTGCATATGATTTGTTCAGAGAGAGAGAGAGAGAGAGAGAGAGATGAGGTTTTTCTACTACAAGTTTTTCTACAAGTTTGTATTTCAAACTTAAGTATACATATTACATAGGAATTTGATTCTCTGTTGAAATTAGCCGGATTGTAAACCAGCGGTTGCCAGGCAAAATATTCACACATTTTGCAAGAGATGGATATAGTACATGCTAAAAAAAAAGAAGCTATTTTTTGTACAATCAGGAGCCATAATCCAGGATGTTATGGTCTGAAAGGCGCGAATATGGAAAGGGACCGAGATATTTGGGATATAAAGATACATTTTAAGTTTCATCAATATTGGATAAAAATTGTGACTTCTAGAGGGTCCACAACCTTGGTATTACATACTTTTACACTATCTGCGTACAAGAAGCGTCCATTTTGTCAGGGAATTTTGTTCCGATTTTCACGAAAGTCAAACTCAACCATCATCAGGGTGATATATTCAAACGTTTTCTTTTAAATCAGATAAAAATTATGATCTCTAGAGGGACCACAAGATTTAAATGCAATTTTTCGTAAATTCAAGGGTCATAATTCTGGAAGTTAGGATCCAATATGTGCGAATATTGACAGAAGCCAAAATCTTTGGGTTATAAACATGTAGTTCAAGTTTCATTAAAATAGGATCAAAATTGTGACCTGTAGATGGTCCACCTTTCATTACGGTGTAACAGTGACATAACAGATCGCTTTTTTAAATCGGATAACAATTGTGGGCTCTAAAGGGTACACAAGCTAAAAATGTGATTTTTCGTACAATCAGGGGCCATGATCCAAGAAGTTACGGTCCAATATGCGCGAATATTGAAAGGAAGCGAGCTCTTTGGGTAAACATACATTTTAAGTTTTATCGAAATTGGATCAAAATTGTGACCCCTAGAGTGTCCACAAGCTAAAAACATGATTTTTTCGTACAATCAGGGGCCATAATCCATGGTCTTATACTTGCCATTATCGAAAGGAACCAAGATCTTTGGGATATAAACCTATATTTCAAGTTTCGTCAAAATCGGATAAAAATTGTGACCTGTATAGTGTCCACAAACAAATTCTGTACGGATGGACAGACAGACGGACAGGGGCGATGACAATATACATCCACATGAAAATGTGGGCGTAACGTTCAGTATTGTCTGATATTCTTTTAATTAAATGAACTATCATCAATAACTTACCCATGGTTATTGAGTTAATATACACTGGTTCAATATAATGACTAAAAATTGCACCCTGTATTCCAAGAATATTCCAGGCCAAAAGTTTATCGCTTCCGGACATTATTAACATATCTTCTGCTGTACCTCCTGCTCCTTTATATAAATCCATTGTCTGACTGGCAGCTTGAGCTTCTGTAGCAAAACTCACTACACCTATATTTTTGAAAATAATATCATGGAAACATTAGACCTCATTAAATTTATGGAGACATATTGTACTATAATGATTGTTTTACATATTTTCATGCCACATTTCTTGTCCTAATATGTCATTTTAACTTTTTATGTGTTATTTTTCTATGTGAAATGCCAATCTGTGTTCATTAAAATATTTAGGACTAGAGATTTAGCCAAAAATGCAACTATAATTTGCAAACAAAACCTTTATCCAATCTTTCAATGCAAAAACTTGGTCCCATCATTATTGACAGAAATAGCACAACAGATCGATTGAATTCTATACTGTAAGTAATTGGATCCAACTTAGATGTTTAGTTCCTTTAAAGTATTTGATTTTTTTTTTTTTTTTCAAACATTTTATCCACATTTTGGCATTTTCTTTAGTCAACTTTTATATTTGTTTGTCTTACTAATGGTTACTTACATATTGGCTGCTTTCTCAATGTATTTGTTTCTAATTATTACCCAACGCAACAGAGAAAGGATTACACTTCCATAAGAAATGAAATGAAATGGGGTTTAACGTCACTTCCATAAGGTTACTGATATAAAATAATTACCATCTTCATTTTTAGTGCATAAGAAACCATGTGAATCTTTATTAAACACCGGGAAATGAGCACCATAGTTGGCCTGTTCCGCTTGCCCCAGATCTAATGGTGGATTAGGCCTGTAAAAAAAAATGTTATTTTTTTCATCCATCTACTTTAAATGATGCATATAAATTTCATACATATCAGATGATAACTTTCATCAATCGAGCATTAACAAGGTTGAACAAAGTGAAACAAGGGCCATAACTCTAGAATTAATAAACGGAAATTGCTGAAATTCAATAGGATTCTTCTCTTTACTAATTTAAATGACACATCATACAGATCGGCAGTTAACTTTTGATGTTAGAGCATTCACAAAGTTCAATAAAGTGAAACAAGGGCCAATAACTCTAGACGTGATAAACAGAAATTGCTGAAATTCAATAAGCTTCTTCGTTTCACACATTTAAATAATGCATATAAATTTCAGAAAGATCGGATGATAACTTTTGGTGTTAAGAGCAGTCACAAGGTTAAATAAAGTGAAATAAGGGCCGTAACTCTAGACGTAATACACAGAAATTGCTGAAATTCAATAGGCTTCTTCGTTTCACTAATTTAAATAATGCATATAAATTTCAGAAAGATAGGATGATAACTTTTGGGGTTAGAGCGTTCACATGGTTAAACAAAGTGAAACAAAGGCCATAGCTCTAGAAGTAATAAACGGAAATTGCTGAAATTCAATAGGCTTCTTCGTTTCCCTAATTTAAATATTGCATATAAACTTCACAAAGATCGGATGTTAAGTTTTGGCATTAGAGCGTTCACAACATATATCAATTTTAAAACAATTGGATGATAACTTTTGGCGTTAGAGCGTTCACAAGAAATTGTGGACGATGGACGGACGGACGGGCGGACGAGGACGACGGCAATATACGTCCACATTTCTATGTGGGCGTATAAAAATGACTTTTTGATTTGTATAAAGCAAATTAAGCACTTTCAAAAGACAAAGACCTTTCCAAAAGTTATGCTAACAATTCACAACCAAAGAATTAAATTTAATTATTTTAATTAATGGGGCATAATGGAAAATGAGATAAAGGGCTGGCAGTTCTCGATATAATATTTAAAAAAATAGATAATGTAAAGGGAATATGTTGAAAATTTCAGTCAAATTACTTTACTCTGAACCAAGATATCCTCGTTACGATAACACTGTAGCCTCAATTGTCATTGCTATCATTGATATGATAATAAACAAAGTCTTGATTATCCATTACTTAGTATTACTCATTGACGCGATCCGGATTATCAGCCAGTTGATTAATTTATATTATTTAGCCAGGGGATTGACACTTAATAATGGTTAATCCAGGATTAATACAATTAGAATTTTTAGATTTTTTTCTGCCAGTCATCAAAAAGAATCGCCAGTACCACAAAACATTATCGCCAAAATCAAATTTTAATCACCACTTTAATATTTTTATCGCAAATTGTGACATTGGCAAACGGCAGTGTGTGCCCATTCTGTGAGCAACATTTTACTTTTAACAACCCTGACAAATAGGAACCAGACTTGAAAAATCCAGGTGTTCTACTCAGCCCATACCAAGAATTGAACCAGGCATATTCTAGTCGAGAGACTATTGCTGTCCCCAAATAGTGGCATCTATTCAGCGGTTTTGAGAAAACACTGCTATTTACATATGCTACTCACTCATTCATATGTTCACCATAATCTCCATCAGGTGGATGACTTATAAATAAGTGTACAGATATATTAGGTTTAAAAATCAATAGATTAGAATTACTACTAGCTGTAAAGATCGAAGTTTCTTTAGATTTTTCCCAATAATCTTTTAACTCAGTATAAAAATATCTGAAATAAATATAACAATCAAATGAATTAGAAAAACAAACTTTCTGCATTTAATACACGGATTACCATCAGGTGTTAGTATCAGCTAAATGATTCATGTTGTAAGTGTAGGGCAAAATCTATTAATCAAATGTTAAATACACTTTAGGATGAATTAAGTCTTGAAAAATTAGACATTGTCAGAGAATACCTAGACTTCTTTTATAGGTAAAATATAAAGTGTTGATTTAATGAAATTCGATGCACTTCATATTTTGAAACAATACTTTAATCATTTAATCGAAAAAAAAATCAGATCAACCCAATTTAACACTTTATTTTGACTTATATCACAGAGGTTTATATCACAGAGAATACCTAGACTTCTTTTATAGGTAAAATATAAAGTGTTGATTTAATGAAATTCGATGCACTTCATATTTTGAAACAATACTTTAATCATTTAATCGAAAAAAAAAATCAGATCAACCCAATTTAACACTTTATTTTGACTTATATCACAGAGGTTTAGCTTTGTCAAAATAATTTTTTAAAAATTCTGTTAATATATCTATTTTCCATCTTACTTTAAAAGTGATCTTCTCGCTATAGTTAATGCTGAACTGTCCAATAAAACCCTTCCATCTGTAGAGATGTTTTCTGTTGATAAACAACAGTTACCAGTACCCAGTGCTACAACTTTACCTATATCTTTTTCCGCTGAAAATATCAGACAGACATAAAACAATAAATTCATCTTAGGCCTTAAAACTATAAGAATTGCCATGGTAGATTAAACTAAATCTTAATTATTTTGATTAAAGAAGTTTGAACCATGGAAGAGAATAAATAGCATAGGAGAAAAAAGATATAAATTAGATTGGTAATAACCTTTACTGAGTAGGCCACTAAGCTCAATCAAGAGACATTAACCCTCTACTAACTTCTTCAGGGATGAAGAACTAAATACAAAATGACTGGAAGTCAGTTATGACATCATAGGGAGTTATAGAAGGGTTGGGTGATTATAATAAAAAAAAATTGTGATAATAATTTATCAAATATCATATATCATATGTAATGATATAGCATGTGTGTTATCATCGATATTGGAACACGATAATTATCATATCGCGATAATTTTTTATTTCGATATTTTTAAAATAAGTCTGATATGATAAAATCACCAAACTGGTATATCGCCTAACCCTACATCATGGGAATGATGATGTCATAGATGAAAGGTTAGCTTATAATAATAAAGGTAAAATTTTACAAGTAAAGAAAATTATGCATGATTAAGAATGATTTTGAAACCCCCTGGATTTAACTCATTTAAACTTTAAAGCCAAACTGAATCAAGTCTATGAATCAACAGACTTTCTACTGTGATCAATTTTTTCTGATCTTTATCAGGAAAATTTTGTACAATGGTATACACGAAATCATGACCAGGTATATTAAGATAGGTTGCCATGCAACGAAACATACACGCATAGCAGCTAAAACATCTGAGCGGTTGACAAGGGTTGTCCCATATTTATTCTTTCGTAGGTAATTGGGGGCATTTATAAGACAATTTCATTCAGACCAGATTATAATTTTTGTCGTTTGAGGGTTCACAGGGTTCTACAAACTGAAACAAGGGCCTTAACTCTGGAAGTAATTTACAGAAAATTTAGAAATTTGATAAGCTTTTTCGTTTTATTAATCTAAATAATGCATATAAATTTCAACGTTCACAAGGTACACAAAGTAAAACAAGGGCCATAACTCTTGAAGTAATTGACAGAAATTGCTGAAATTCAATAGACCTCCGTTTCACAAATTTAAATGATGCATTAACAAGGTTGAACAAAGTGAAACAAGGGCCATAACTCTAGAAGTAATTATTGTAAATTGGTGAAATTCAATCAGCTTCGTGGCTTCACTAATCTAAATGATGCATTTACATTTCATACAGATCGGATGATAACTTTTGGCGTTAGAGTGTTCACAAGGTTCAACAAAGTAAAACAAGGGACATAACTCTAGACATAAAACACGGAAATTGCTGAAATTCTATAGGATTCTTCTTTTTACTAATTTAAATGACGCATATAAATTTCATACAGATCGGCAGATAACTTTTGATGTTGGAGCTTTCACAAGGTGCAACAAAGTGAAACAAGGGCCATAACTCTAGAAGTAATTAATGTAAATTGCTGAAATTCAATAGGCTTCTTCGTTTTACTAATTTAAATAATGCATATAAATTTCACAAAGATCGGATGATAACTTTTGGCATTATATCGTTCACAAGGTTCAATAAAGTGAAACAAGGGCCATAACTTTAGATATAATATACAGAAATTGCTGAAATTCAATAGGAATCACATTACTTTTTTAGCTCATCTCTAGCAAAATGTGGGCGTATCTTGCATGGCAACCGCTTGTTTTGTAGGTAATTGGATCATATACTAGACATCTTAAAGCTCTTAACTTTTGATGTTGGAGCTTTCACAAGGTGCAACAAAGTGAAACAAGGGCCATAACTTTAGAAGAAATTAATGTAAATTGCTGAAATTCAATAGGCTTCTTCGTTTTACTAATTTAAATAATGCATATAAATTTCACAAAGATCGGATGATAACTTTTGGCATTATATCGTTCACAAGGTTCAATAAAGTGACACAAGGGCCATAACTTTAGATATAATAAACAGAAATTGCTGAAATTCAATAGGAATCACATTACTTTCTTAGCTCATCTCTAGCAAAATGTGGGTGTATCTTGCATGGCAACTGCTTGTTTTGTAGGTAATTGGATCATATACTAGACATCCTAAAGCTCTTCATAGTGCTTATTATTATACAAAATATGTACCAATCATCAAATGATAAATTGATCCGAGTTATCAGAAATTGATTAAAATCAATAATGATCAAGAGTAATTATCATAAATGAATGAAGATCAACAGGCTTCTTTGAATTTTTAACTTTTTAACATGATAACTGTATCAATTTCAAGTGAATCAGATGATAATTTTAGCCTCTAGCGTGTACACATACGACCCCTTTTCGATGTGGGGCCGCATAAAAATACATACTGAATTCTTACAGCAGGTGATGTGTAGCATAGTATTAGCACTCTATCAGAACAAAACAAGCTAACAGTGAGGCTGATGTCCCCCGCCGATTTAACAAACTATATAAATAGATGACACATATTAATTAATTGCACATTTATCGTTTCCAAAAGTATCGAGCAATCAAACTGATTATCTATACAGTGGACTCTGTCACATCCGACATCGTGCGGGATCGTTACAATAATTCGGATCACACAGCGTTTCGGAATACCTAGTTTTCTCCAAAACCTGAAATACTGTAACTTCGAAAACCGGAAGTATTTTTATATTGTAGCTTCGAATCACCAGAATGCTATTCCCTTTATAAATGATAAACTTTTCTGTACTTTCAAATTTGTATTATATTAAATAATTAACAATAACAATGCATGCATACAATATATTCATAAATCGTTTACATGTAATATCAATGCATGCGTACAATATATTTATAAATATCAATGCATGTAATCGTTTAAAGTAGTTTGCTTAGTTAAGATTACCGGAAGCATATCGTAAGGCGGAGTCCTGGGCAACATCTTCTAACAAATGAATTGTTGCGATCATCTTTTCGTCCTTAATCTGTGCGAAGTGTTTAATGTCAGTGAGCATGCGTAGGAATTTTGAATAGGTCAAGTCTGTCGTTAATGTATATTCTTCATCGTCCCCGTCTTCAGTCAATTGTCATTTATAATCTGTCGTTCTATGTCCAGTTTTTCAAGCCAATCAAAGTAAACGGCACCTGTCATCCAAGCTTTGCGATTGGCCGACCAATTGACTGGCAGGTAGATTCTGTCCACTCCCTTAAAACAACTCGGGTTCACTGCTTTACCGATCAAAGTAATCAACACAGTTTTAATCTCACCGATAATTGATTGGTGATTACTTGTTAATCTTTTCTGACTTCACACCCATTGAGTTTTAATCTCACCGATAATTGGATGCTTCACACCCACCGTTTGAAGTAAGGATTATACGGTGTCGATTCAATGGAAATTATGTGACGGGACGGCTGATTGATTTCGGAATCCGGAACATACAGAATTCGGATTTACCAGCGATTTTTTGGCTGAAGTAATAAGGAAATAAATCGGGACATGAAAATCATACTGGATGTCACAGCAATCCGGAGTGATCAGAGATCGGATGTGACAGAGTCCACAATCAAACTCGGTCAAGGTTTTGAAGTACCTGGTAGTGAAACTATACACTAAGTTTCATCACTCTCCATCAGTTAGAATCAAAGTTATCTTGTCCCAAAGCATCAACAAATGAAATTGCTTAGTTCTGCTTAGCTTTAGCTGGAAATGTTAATCATTGAACTCAGTCAAGACATGCACCTAATGAACATCTACATCAAGTTAAAACATTCTACCTCAATTAAAAGCAGAGTTGTTATGTTCCAAAGTCATGACCAATCAAATTGCTTATCGCTACTTAGCATAAGCAGAACATTCTCATCATTGAACTTAAGTCACGGATGGACAGACAGAACCATTTTAATAGTCCACTACTTTCTTTGAAAGGCGGGGGACAAAAAAAACCTAATGGACTTAACATATAACTTGTGGAGAAAAAATAGAGGTCCTCAAAACTCACAATGTTTAATTACAAAGGCTGCTACAGTATTATGAATAGCTAATATATCTGGACACTGCTCAAGTACTTCTACAAATTTTAAAAACGACAAACTACCAATCTGATCGGGCATTGTTAAAGCATGTAGATCTACTGTTGATCTAACCTGAAAAATAAAAGAAAGGACATGGTATAAATCATAATAAATATATCCGACACCAAATTATATATAATCTATTTCAGATGATAGACCACTGAATTTTTTTAAGGTAATGTGATGCCTTGAATAATAAAGATCGACCGACACTAGAGACAGACAACAAAACATATGCCTTGGCAGCCAAGTCTCCCCAGCAATCCATAGAGGTTGTCACAAGTTTATTCTTTTATACACAGTCCTGGATTAAGCATGTGCTTAGAGCACAAAGGAACATTGTGCAAATTCTGCAGCTGAACTTGGGCCCACAAAAAGGGACCCAACAATAAATGAAACATAAAAACTTTGTATAAATTTCAAGTTAGTTGGATGATAACTTAATCCTTTAGAGCATCTACAAGATTTTCCAAAGATATAAAAGGCAAGAACCCAGACGGTACACTTTATTATTGGACATTGTTGAAAAATTATAAGCTTCTTAAAGCTGAACTCTGATTACGAAACTATGGATGTAATTAAAAAAAAAAAAAAGATAACGCCCCAAACAGTCGTCATACTTGTTTTCAATTTGTAAATGAAATGAAATGGAGTTTAACGTCCTACTGTTCTGCTCCTAACCTGGGCTAATGAAGACGGAGTTTTCAATTTGTAGAACAAACATGAAGACTGATGACTGGTATAAGAAGATAGACAGGCAACGCCCATATCTATCACCCTCGGTGGAGTGGAGGTAAAACTCCAGGAATGAACAAACAAATGCCCACATCCAGTATATGCCTTGTCAAGCACAGTATGCACATCCGGCTTGCCATATTCCAACTACCACATGCTCGACTGGTTGGGTTATTTTTTTCACTATCAGCTTACTAAAAATATTATTGCTACACAATTATCATGTCTGATTAGGTACATATTATTTTACTAAAAAATAAGAGAAAGACTGTCTTACCCGAAACAATAAGTATGCTAACGCCATTCAATTCTTCTTATTTCGTGTAATGTTTTGCACAACAACATAGAAAGACCAAATAAGTTTCTGCATCATAAAGTATGGCGACTGTTTGGGGTGTCATCTTTTTTTTATTTAATTATTTCGATAGTTTTGTAATCGGAGTTCAGCTTTAATTTGTACAATCAAAATACACACAGTGTATGCATTTTAAGTCAACTGTATGATAACTTTAGAAACTACGTGATCAAGGGCAATAAGTCACCATACTACATATGTAAAAATAGTGATGTTTTTAAAAAAAAATCTGTAACTTTTACCTCTCTAAATTCTGGTCCAGACATAAGATCTAACAGAGCTTTTTCACAAGCTTTCCGTTTACATTCCTTCTTACTAATAGCATATTCAGTCACACGTTGATTCTGTACGTCTACAGTTGCTGAAAACCTGATAAAATAAAGTGAATATTTTAAGACAAAATCAGGAACCAATGACAAAGCCTTTTTTAGCACTGATTATTTACAAATGAATCATAATATTAAAAGCAGAAATTTGCAAATGAACAAATATTACTGTAGATCTAACAGGAAAACATGTTTGCATTGTATTCTTTGTTAATTTAAAAAACCCAAAAACAAACTGATTTTTTAATGTCCAATTTGCCTAATAACACTTCACTTGATTTACTTAAGATCTAGAGCTTCTACCTTCCCAACATATAGCTGACACGCTTTTTATTAAGCATGTAGCAATCAAATTGTTTATCACTGCAAAGCCTGATCGAATTTAGTCATGGTATCAATAATGCAACTATACATCCATGTTCCTGAAGCAACGACCGCGAGTTTTACAACATCTAGTTGTGCTTCAATACTCAACAATTCCCGAATTTTTGCGCTTGTTGTGTTTACAAGTGACTAATTAGCATTGTCCAATCAGAGGTCATGGCACATAACACACTGTAAACAAATATGGCGGCCTCCATAGAAAAAGAAATAGACAAGTTTACAGCCTTTGTTGATCAACCATGATTTCCAGCAACCTTGACATTGATCATACCTTGAACTTTGCAACTCGATTGTCACATGTAGACATTATAGCTAGAAGCGTGAGACTTGATAATCGTAACCATATTTTTTACAAATGAATCTGATAGGATCACAAGCTGGTCTTATACCCAATCGAAATTAGTGCTAAAATATGCGAGGTATTACGTGAAGGGCTTGATAAATTGTACGTAGTTAAGGCGAGATCAAGCCTTCTATTGAAGATGCTATACATCCTTCCTCCCCCTCATCCCAATAATGATAAAAGAAGCATAGTTATTTACATTAATACATCAAATATTCTACCCCATTATGATAGAAGCAAACTTATTGTGTTCCAATAGGTGTGACTGACAGCCGATTAGTCTAAGCAGGAAATGTTCATCACCTAATGAACATATTACACCCGAATCAGAACAATCTTCCTCAACTAGAAGCATAGTCTTGTGTCCAAAAGTTTTCGCTTATCATCATTCAGTAATATTACTTGCTCATTTATCTTTTTGTAAGCATCAATCAAATTGGTAACAAACAAATTGCTTATCTCTGCTTAGCCTATGCAGAAAATACTCATTATCAAACCCAGCCAATGCATTCGCCTAATAAACAACTACACCACGTTTAAACATTCCAGCTCAATTAGAAGCAGAGTTATTGTTTCCCAAAAACTTATCATATAGCATAATCAAAATGAAATGAAATGAAATGGAGTTTAACGTCCTACTGTTCTGCTCCTAACCTGGGCTAATGAAGACGGGCATACGCCATACAGTGTGCTATGAGGGAAATTTTGCCCGGACAGCAGCACTACGGCCTACTCTTATATCGAATTCCAACTGCCAAGGGATCTTTTACGTGCATTCCAATGTATACACGGGACCTCGGTTTTTCGTCTCATCCGAAGGACTAGACAGCTATCCTTGTCAGGCCCTCCGTCCTGCATCACTGACAAGGGGGAACCACGCCGGAAAATCTGGATGAACTTTCTCGGCCAATGCAGGGATCGAACACCCGACTAGCATAATCAAATTTAAAAATATAGAAAACAGAAAAACAAACAATTACCCATATGGTCCTGCAACATCGCTGACATGGATTTTGAACGGTATTTTGTGTTTTGTGCAGAATTCATGAAGTTCACTAACTTCATTTCTACCACATTCATAGGAATCTGAATCAGATGGCGATTGTCTTGGTGCTATTTCATTTCCAGGTTTTGATAAGCTAGGAATGCCAACAGATAAAGGTGTAGGAGCTTCAAGTCTTGATGGAATAACTAATTTGCGTCCAGTTGCATCATACATTACTGTATTATTAGCCTCTGTATAACAAGATATAATAAAATTAAACACCCCAAATTAGGTATTATTGGTATTAACTCAAATCCTCCAATTTGAACTTTTTATATTACAGTACAATAGAAATGAAATGAAATGGAGTTTAACGTCCTACTGTTCTGCTGCTAGAGTACCATAGAATGTCCAATTAAAACCAGTAGTGTAAGTAATGCTGGTATCAATATGATATGCATCAGAATAGATATTCAAGTCACAAAATTAACATGAAAACACAACTTACATACTGAATACATAAATACTTTTTAAAAAATTATAATTAGACAAGAGCATCGCTACTGCAGCAAGATACATCCACATTCCTGCTTTAATTGATACGGTACTTTTTAATATGAAGAGCATGAAATATGAATTGGCTGTAATATGATAAGAGGCAAAGAAGGCTAGGCGTTGGGTTTGTTTTGCCAAATTTACAGACTAAATATTAACAAAAAGTGGGTGCGAAACCACCCCAGGGGGTCACAAGGCATGCACCAAAATAAATAGTTGCTGTCTTTGTGGTATAAGGAATTAAATATGTAAAGTTTCAAGATGATCCATTCAGAATTGTGGCATGTAGACGATAAACACAAATATTAGGCATGGCTCTGCCCCTGAGGGTTGGATATGGACCAATATAAATAGGTACAACCTTATGATGGATCATACTGATTTGGATCCAAATCTGTTAATTATGGCCTGTAGGCAACACACAGACACACTGAGAACAAATGGGTGTGGCTCAGCCCCTGGGTGTCGGGTATGCACCAAACACAATGGGGATCATCCTTAGGGTATAAGGGATATGTACGCAAAGTCACAAAAGAATCTGTTAATAATTGCGGCCTGTAGGCGACACAATGCCACATGCAAAAACTAGGCGCAGCTCTGTCCCAGGAGGTTGGGCATGCAGACACACAGACACACAAAGAGGAAATGGGTGTGGCTCTGCCCCCAACCCCCGGGGGTTGGGCATATACCAAAAACCGGGAGGGTGATCCTTATGGTATAAGGATTAACTATGTAAAGTTTCAAAAGTATCTTTAAAAATTGTGGCCTGTAGACGACAAAGAATAACAAAAAATGGGCATGGCTCTGCCCCTGGGGGTCGGGCATGCACCAAAAACAATAGGCATCATCCTTAGGGTATAAGGAATAAGTATACAAAGTTTCAAGACAATCCATTATGAATTGCACCCTCTAAGCGACCCACAGACACACACCCACACACACACACAGACTGGGGCAACGGCATAATGTGGAAGTATAAACATGAATATTCTGTTGACATTTTATGAAAAGATTTTTCGATGCAATGAGGGTTTAACATCCTACTGTTCTACACCAACCAAACGATTTTGCATAGCAGTGCAAATTATTTGATAACTTTTGTCAATAAAGCACCAGTAAACCGATTTTGTCATATCAGCCCCAACTGGTTGGTGTAACTTTACATATAGAAAGTACCTTCAATATCAACAGGATCGCCCAATCCAAATATAATTGAAAAGGCATTTCTTGCAGCTTCTGTTTTGGCATCTTTTTTGGTTTTGCCAGTTCCTTGAGGATATTCTATACCATCAACTTTTACCATATTAGCAAACATGGCTAAGAAAGATGGACACTCCACTGCAACTTCATGAAAAGAAATAGGCTTCTTCACAATTGAACAATATTCCATTAATGAACTAACAGGATGCTTGGTACCAGCTATAAAACTCTCCACCAGCTCAGGAGGTACCTAGTAAAATACAAAATACTTTTAATCAATTGTCAGTACACCTGGCATGCATATTTTTATTTGCTTAATCAATTTCATTATAATTAAATAGAAATTACCCTTAACAGCAATCATGAGTTTTCTACTTAAAGATACATTATAGTCCATGTGACAGACCGTGGACTTTGGAGCATCATTACCAATCTGATGAAGAAATTCAACCATGATTTTCAGTTAGCCTGGTGGCTGAAGTGTTGAAATTTGGTTGATGGACTTCAAATTTGGCAGCCATCTTTAAAAATAGCCGCCGTTATTTCATTGAAATTGGGTGCATCAGGGAAACCTTCATAACTCCTGAACAGATTGACCTATGGATATGGAATGTGGCTCACAATGTTCGCAAAAAAATGCTACATGATACTTGTTGTTGAATGAATCATATATTTTCCAAATCAACAGATTATTCTGGAAAAAGCAACGTTTACTATAAGTTTACTACCAAATCAGTGGTCCTCCCTGTACAGCTGCGGTGGCCGCAAACCCACCAACTTAGTGAACGTTTAGCTAGTGTGTCACAATCAAAACGATATTTGCAGACGGGTTGTTTCTGTGTCAAAATTTGTCACTGAAGACAATTTTGAGATATTTTACTTCTGTCACGTCATTTTCGGTTGGGGTTCTCTCCGATTTCCAAAATGGCCACCAAAATTTAACGAAAAACAAATTTCTAGTTAGGATGGATAAGTATCACGCAAGGTAAGGCTTGTAATATATCATATATAGGGTTTTCGTAGTCACTGAATTTAATAAAATTGATCTCTAAAAATGAATTATTTATTGGAATTTTCAATGAAACGGAAAGGTTTGTTCTGCTCAGGAATTAGCTTAGAAGGGACAAATACAATTTGTAGAACCAGATAGTTGATGTTAGTGAACCCATTTTTTCCTGAACACCTGTTTCACACAAAATCTTATTTTCTATCAAGACTGACCTTCAGTATAATAATCTATTTGCATATAAAGTTTATGAAAATACTCATTCAAACAACATTTAATATGGTCTACCACCTGTAGGACTCTCTCTTCAACTTAACCAGCGGCTGCCAGGCAGGATACGCCCACATTTTGCAAGAGATGGATAGAGAACGAGCTAAAAGCAAACAAGATTTTTTGTACTATCGGGGGCAATAATCCAGAAAGTTATGGCCTGAAATGTGCAAAGATCAAAAGGGACTGAAATCTTTGGGATATAAAGATATGTTTTAAGTTTCATCAAAATCGGATAAAAAATTGTGACCTCAAGAGGGTCCACAACCTTCATATAACACACTTCTATACAATTTGCGTACAAAGAGCGGCCATTTTGTCGAGCAAATGCATTTTAATTTTCCCGAAATTCAAACTCAACCTTCATTATGGTGGAATGTTGATGTATTTAAACGTTTTTTAAAATCGGGAAAAAATTGTGACCTCTAGAGAATCCGCAAGCTAAAAATGCGATTTTTCAAACAATCAGGGGCCATAATCCAGGAAGTTACGTTCGGGTATCTGCGATTATCAAACTCCCCCCCCCCAAGATTTTAGTGTGTAACGGTGATGTATTCACACGTTTTTTTTAAATTGGATAAAAACTGTGACCTCTACAGGGACCACAAGCTAAAAAACGTGATTTTTTGTTCAATCAAGGGCCATAATTCAGGAAGTTACCAATATCTTTGGGTTATAAAAATGTATTTCTAGTTTCATCGAAATCGGATCAAAATTGTGACCTCTAGAGGGCCCACAACCTTGATTTACCAGATGTTTGCGTACAAGGGGCAAACCCTGATACAAAATATTTTGACACTATTTGCGAACGAGTTTCGCCCATTTTGTCAGTCAGTTTCGAAATTCGAACTCAACTATCCTTAGGGTGTAATGGTGATAAATTCAAACGGTTTTGTAAATCGGATAAAAATTGTGACCTTTATAGGGTCCACAAGCCAAAAACGTGATTTTTCGTAAAATCAGGGGCCATAAATTCAGGAAGTTATGGTCCGATATGCGCGAATATCGAAGGGAACTGAGATCTGTGGGTTATAAACATACAATTCAAGTTTAAACGAAATCAGATAAAAATTGCGACCTCTACAGTGTTCACAAGCTAAAAACGTGATTTTTCGTACAATTAGGGGCCATAATCCATGAAGTTACAGTCCAATATATGCAAATATATAGGAGGATAAACCTATATTTCGAGTTTCATTGAAATCGGATAAAAATTGTGACTGTAGAGTGTTCATAAAAATTGTGGACGGACGGACGGACAGGGGTGACGACAATATACGCCCACATGAAAATGTGGGCGTATAAAATTAAATTGTTTATTGGAATTTTAGATTAAACGTAAACTTTCTTGTAGCTTTAAAATACTCGACTAAAATACCAGTTGTTAATTTGTAATATGTTTAAAATCATATCTTTCTACGCAAATAAACAATAAATTATTCATTAGATAAAATGGAAACATTGTAAAATAAATACCAATTGTTTATACAAGTTAAAGTCTACCATGTAATATGGAAATTTGCAACATGTTTAAGCACCATATCTCTCTACATGACCTAACAATAAATTGTTCATTCGATAAAACAGAAACATTTTTTTATATAAGTGTAAAATGATATACGAATTATCATTTTATATGGTGTATTTTTACTGATAATTAAAGTATTCAAGTAATGCAGGAATTTGAAACCTGTTTTAACATCATACCTTTCGCCTTCCTTTTCAGGGATGAACACTCAAAAAGAGTATTGTAGTTTCGGGGGTCCCTAAACTAGTTAATGTTCTTGCATAGTCATGAATTTACATCTTTTTTGATGAATTATTAAGATATATGCATATACTCTAGAAAGTACCATTTACAGTCATTTTTTTTCAAAAGAAATTTCTAGCCTGGTTGGAGAGAACCCTGTCATTCACTTCACGGAGCAAAGATAAGCCTGTCCTATCCTAGGTATCACATGTGTAATTTTATGTCAACTTCACAACTGTCAGTATAAATATAGCATTTACTTGACAATTATCAAGATGTGTCATTTTTAGCCTTATCATTAACATCATTTTCAGCATTCATTTTTTAGTTTTTATTCAAATTCAGTGACTCTGAAAACCTTATAAAGACATATTATAAGCTATATAAAAGAGAAAATTGATGATTTTCTAAAAATATTATTCATTTTATGGAAATTCTGGCCGCCATTTTGAATTTTCGTCATCTTAGATTTAACATACATTATGCAAGAGCTAAATCTGCCTATTGCATGTCTTTCTTTAAGCCTGAAATGTTTTCTGAATTATTAATTAGACATTAATTAGCTGATCCAGGCCATAATCAATTCTCGATGGCATCGGATTTCTCTGATATTAAATAGATTAGAACAGTTCAGCCATATTTTGATTTAATCTAAAAATGGAGGAACAAGACTTACCTTCGAACAACCAGTACAGTGGTTGAAATTATTGCACGATCTTGTCAAACTTTCAAAGGCTAATATCTTCAGCAACACTGAGCACCCTTTCAATTGGATAGTACATGTCATATCAAACAATGAAATGACTATTATCTAACAAATTGGCCTTTTTAGGAAATTTAGTCGCCATTTTGAATTTTCGCCATTTTGGACACTCATATTAGAGATAATATTTTATGATCAATGTTTCTGATATCTATTAAATCACTTTAGTTGACAAAATAAATAATTTGGCTTATATGGGTCTGAACATGATTTGTTAGTAAACTTTTGAATAAACATGAAATAAAATTGAAAAAATGTTGCTTTTTTTCAGATTAATCTTTTATTTTAAAACTGACAGTATTGATTAAACAACATATATCATATATCAGCAGATGTAGAATTATATTATGAACAGTTTGAGCTATATTACATATAGGTAAAACTGTTGAGGAGTTATGAAGGCTTCCCCAACTCGCACTATTTCAAATAATAAAAAAAAAATGCAGCCATTTTTAAAGATGGCCGCCAAACTGACATTTGGCAAAGTAACCTGGAAGTCCATCAACCAATTTTGGACACTTTAGACCTAAGGTTAACTGAAAATCATAGTTAAACCAATTCATCAAATTGGTAATGAATATCTGCCTGTCACATGGACTATTATGGGAGACTTGATAAAGAGCTGGCAGTTCTCACTATGAAAGTTAAAGACTAGATAATGTAAAGGCAATTTGCTAAAAATTTCTGTCAAAGTGATCCACTCTGAACCAAGATTTTAGTGATTGAATTTTCGGCCTAGCTTCGATCATCATTACTAAAGTCGGTACGATAAAAAACATAGTCTCAATTATCCATTTCATGATTAAATCATGAATGAAAGTTGAGCAGCAAATCGATCCTACTCCAGTAAATATCGCAGGCTAGTGTTGACATTGAGAGTTGATTATGGTCTGGATAAATTAAATAATGTCTAATTAATAGTTTATATAACATTTCAGGCCTAAAGAAAGATCGGCAATAGGCAGATTTAGCTCTTGCATAATGTATGTTTACCTATATCATCTTTATAACTCTAATTAAAAATTTACTAGGATACATATCTGGGTTCAGTTCTCATAATAATAATACCGGTAGTCTATTTATATTGTCAATATCCATGCATAAGTATTCTCTAAGCGCAGTCAAAAAACAATCAAATTATAAATGATAAGATTATACATGTATATCACAGCAGGACAATAACTCTGAAAGTTATTACCGGTATTAAAAATCCCCCAAAATCAATGGGCTTATAAAAAATTACCTTTTTAACATTATTAGAATTTTGATTCATTCTGTATTATATTGTTTATCAATCTGCAAAAATAAAAAAAGTTCAAGTTTATTTTCATTACCATAATATAATCAAGGACTCAATTATAAGTTATGTCATATATTATAAGTATGTTCATTAATGTTGTAAAAACTGAGAATGAAAATGGCAATGGGTATACATGCAGAGTTCCATCTATGCTTCATCTGGTGTTCTTCAGCTTTTCATCCCATCTGAACAACTAAATGCTTTTTCCATGCCAGGCCCTTCATCCTGCACCACTGACAGTTGGGGGAAACTGCATGACACTGAGATGATCCTGAGGAACTTTCAGCCGACAACGGGATAGAACCCTGGTCACATAGATATAATCCTTTAATGAACATCATCTTGATCACAGTGCCGTGCTTTGTGAATGAAAGTAGTCTTTTTTAACAGCCAGAAAGATAGGTTACCAGGCAACAAAACATATGCCCACAGCAGCTAAATTGTTCGGGCAGTCAACAAGAGGTGTCGCATATATTTCCTTTAATCAGTAATGAAATATTTATAATACACTAAAATCTAATTAAGAGTAACAACTCATTAAGTAATTATCAGAAAATCATTAGAATTTGTTTGGCCCATGCTGACGTTTAGTACACAAACTATTTAACATCATGACTTTAGGTGTTCAAGTTATCGAAATTTATTGAAAATCAATATACTTGTTAATCTCAAGACCTTAAACTCTGTGTATCAATCTAAGGTCAATCTAAACAATCATATAAAGGCGCAAAAAAGGTATATTAAATATAAAATCAATCACTTAATAACTATCTGGCAGTAATTATCGGAAATCATTGAAAATCAATAGGATTCTTCGTCTGATGACCTTAAATACTGTGTATATATTTAAAGTCAATCGGATATTAACTTTAGCCCCTTTTCAAAGTGATAAAGGGCCATAACTCTGGTAGTAATTATCGGAATTCAATAGACTTCTTCGTCTCATGACCATATACACTGTGTATAAATTTAAAGCCAATCAGATATTAACTTTACCTGTAAAGGGACCACAACCTTGTATTACATACTTTAACGCTATTTGCATACAAGGAACAGACATTGTGTGCGGCAATTTGGGTCCTAGGACTGTATATATAATTATAATCTGAGGACTGATACATGTGCCTGTCATTTGAAATATTAACCAGACTGAAGACATTGGTATTATTTATTACCCATGCCAAAATCTATTCTTTACAATGGTAGGCATGCTTGTAGCTTGTGTGTTTTTAACTGACCATAATAGTTATTAAAGTGAAACAAGGAAATGACATGAAATGAAATGGGGTTTAACGTCCTACTGTTCTGCTCCTATACTGGGCTAATGAGGGAAATTTTGCCTGGGCAGCGGCGCTACAGCCTACCCTTATATTGAATTCCAACTGCCAAGGGATCTTTTACGTGCACACCAATCCTCACAAAGTTCTACAAAGAGACACAAGGGCCATATTTCTAGAAGTCATTACAAGAAATTTAATAGGTTTCATTCTTTAACTAATCTATATGCATTTAAATATCATACAGATCGAATGATAGCTTATTTCCTAAGAGTTTTCATAGGACTACAAAGTCAAATAATATGTGTTATATCTCTCGAAGTCATTAACAGAAATTGTTAAAATTCAACAGGATTCTTCATTTTACCAATTTCAACTTTAATAAATATTGGATGAAAACTTTAGTCACACAGGATTCTACAAAGTAAAACAAGGGGAATAACTCTTGAAGTAATTAACGGAAACATTTGAATTTGATAGGTTTCTTCGTTTTACCAATTTAAATAATACATATAAATCTAATACAGATTGGTGAGTTCACAGGTTTGTGCAAAGTAAAACAAGGGCCATACCTCTTTGAAATAATTAATCGAAATTGTTAAAAGGCAAGATCCGATGATAACTGGAGGAACAGAAACCCGTCCATGACAAGCTAACGGAAATAGCTGAAATTCAATAGGCTTCTTCGTGTTACTCATATAATACATATAAATTTCATACAGATTGCATGATAACTTTTGTTGTTAGAGCCTTCACATCATTCAACAAAGTGAAACAAGGGCCATAACTCTAGACCTAATTAACGGAAATTGCTGAAATTCAATAGGATTCTTCGTGTTACCCATTTATATAATGCATATAAATATCATACAGATCGGATGATAACTTTTGTTGTTACAGTGTTCACACGGTTCAACAACGTGAAACAAGGGCCATAACTCTCGACATAATTAACAGAAATAGTAGACATTCAATAGGCTTCTTTGTTTCACTAATTTAAAGGTTGCCCATCAGTTTCATACAGATCGGATGATAATTTTAGTCGTTCACAAGATGCAATAAAGTGAAACAAGGGCCATAACTCGAGAAGAAATTAACGGAAATTTTTGAAATTAAATAGGCTTCTTCATCTCACAATCATATAATAAATGTAGTCTGTAGAGTGTTCACAAGAAATTGTGGATGACGGACAGACGACAAAATACGACATTTCCATGTGGGCGTATAAAAAAAAGGAACATATCTATAATGAAATACTCCACGGAGAGGCATTTTTTGGTGATTTATGAAAGGAAATCAGGTAGGTTTATTACGGGGCACCAAGCTACCATGAAACCACTCCCAACCGGACGGTGTTGATCTACTTTTTCATTGTACAAATTTGAATAAGCGAGATATATCTAACGCTGTAACCGAGGTAGACTAATCACCAGAATTCACTTATAAACACCAGAATTCACTTACAAACACCAGAATTCACTTTGAAGATATCAGAATTCGCCCGCAAGATGTTCTTATTTTACATTAATATTGGATTACTTAAAACCACCAAAAAACCCTGAAATTCACTTTGAAAACTTATAAACACCGGAATTCACTTTCAAACTATTTTGCATTAATATTAATATTGAATTACTTAAAAACACCAAAAATCCCTGAAATTCATTTTGAAAACATAAAAACACCAGAATTCACTTTCAAACTAACGGAATTCGCACTTTAGATCTTAATAATAATATCAATCTATTTATAAAGCACTGAGTATCCAAGAAACGAGTTGCTCAAGAGCGCTATACTAATTCCTTTTTACTAATATTTTGCATTAATAATAAATTACTTTAAAACACCTAAAATCACCAGAATTCACATTGAAAACATATAAACACTGGAATTCACTTTCAAAATATCATAATTCGCACTTAAAGACCTTCCTATTTACTAATATTTTGCATTACAATAAATTACTTTAAAACACCGAAAATCACTGGAATTCACATTGATAGGGTGACTTGTAGAGTGAAAATTTTCTCTATAGAAAGTTAGACTTGACATGGCGAATGTGCACGCTTCAGTGGCTTGTCTCGAACTGATTTCTGTTTACCACGCAGTATATGAGACTATAAACAGCCATCGCACGTGCAATTCTCTACACATCTATCAACTATTACAGCCGTAAAAAATATAATGTTGACTATTCTGAATAGCAGTAAAATTTAGCTTTTTGGTTATTACAGCAGCTTTAGAAATTACGTTCGTTTTATTTTTTAAATTGCTTTATCATTAACTGTACCATTATAGGAGTGGCATCTTTTGGTTTAGTACACATAATATCTCTGAAACACTTTCGTTCGGCAAGAACATGATACTAGCAGTAGTTTCATTTTACTTTTACAAGGTTCTAAATTCAATTTCTTGTTTCAGCTTTCTGTTATGTTTCGTAAAAAAAGTAGTTTTAATTATCCTGGCCTGTCATTCAGACGTAGAATGGTCGGTAGACTGGTTAAGCAAGACTAATTTCAAAACAAGGGCAAGTAACCTATTTTTTACTAACAAGTGCCCGGATGCTATGGCCGACACTCGTAACCATCTTTTAGTGTATTATTCATAGATGGTTAAGTGGTCATAGCTTATTAAGTATAACATGACCATTTATTTAGTGACTATAGTATAAATGTGCGAAACTAATTTAAGGCTTGGTATAAATATTGTGGTGTAATTGTCGAGATATTTGGAGATATTTATTTATGGTGGGTCACCCTAACATTGAAAACATATAAACATTGGAAATTGCTTCCAAAATAACAGAATGCGCACTTAAGACCTTCCCTATTTAATAATAGTTTGCATTAATAATAAATACTTTAAAACACCAGAATTCACTTTGAGGAAATCGGAATTCGCCCCCAAGACAATTGCATTTACTTATATTTTGGATTAATATTAATACTACAATACTAGAATGCATCTGTGAGAGAGAGAGAGAGAGAGATGGGGTTTAACATCCACTCGACACAAACTAGGTCATTTCGGGACTAACACATGGTTCAATTTTATTTAAACAATTCGCTTGCGCATAGGGGTCTTTAGCAGTGGGAGGAAACTGGAGAACCCGGAGAAAACCCATGAGGTTGGACAGGCGACCCTACTCCTTGCCACGTACAACCGGGGAATCGAAACCCCGCCAGTTGACTCAATGACAGACCGTATGATACAGCACAGCGCGCACGTGCTAACCATTCGGCCATCCAACCTCCCAGAATGCATCTGTTGTAAGAAATTAAAAGAAATAACCAGCGCCTGCCAGGCAGGATACGCCCACATTTTGCAAGAGATGGATAGAGAACAAGCTAAAAACAAACAGGATTTTTTGTACAATCAGGGGCAATAATCCAGAAAGTTATGGTCTGAAATGGGCAAATATCAAAAGGGACTCAACCATAATTACTGTGTAACAGTGATATATTTGAACGTTTTTTTTAAATTGGATAATAATTGTGACCTCTATAGGGTCCACAAGCTACAAACTTGATTTTTCTTACAATCAGGGGCCATAATTCAGGAAGTTATGGTCCGATATGCGCGAATATCAAAAGGAACCGAGATCCTTGGGTTATAAACTTACATTTCAAGATTCAACAAAATCAGATAAAAATTGTGACCTCTATAGGGTCCACAATCTAAAAACGTGATTTTTCATACAATCAGGGGGCATTATCCATGAAGTTACGGTCCGATACATGCCAATATCGAAAGGAACCAAGATCTTAGGGAGATAAACCTATATTTCAAGTTTCGTTGAAATCAGATACAAATTGGGACCTGTAGGGGCAACGACAATATATGTCCACATGAAAATGTGGGCGTATAAATAACATCCCATAAAAACAAGTTAAGAACTTGATCATTAATACGTCTAGCGAGCCGGTTAAAAAGATATTTCCATGTGGTCAACTCATAAAAGACAATATGATTAGAACACAGCAGTATTCCATGTAAAATGTGAAACCAAACATTTCTCGAATCTGCAGCAAAACGTTCTCAGTGAAGATGAGCGATGTGTAGAACTATGGGTCTTTGTCAGATATGGAGAGCAGACATAGCTCAAAACCGGTCGCCACATCCTATGATCCTACGTATGGCCCATGCATTCTTTTCTTACTATATATCTTGGTAGCCTTGTGATCGTCTAGTATTTTCATTTGTTGTCTTTAAGGGATTTTAACACAAAATTAAGCAGTTTTATTCTCCAAACTATTATCGGGATTGACCCTTTAAACATTCTACTTCAATTAAAAGCAGAGCTGTTATGTTCCAAAGTCTTGACCAATCAAATTGCTTATCAATCCTTAGCCTAAGCAGAAAATTCTCATCATCAAACTTAGTCAACGTAATGATATAATGAATCTATACTCGAGTTTCACCACTCTCACTTAATTAAAACCAAAGTTATAATATAATTGAAATGAATTCCAGTAGTCTTTCAAATAAATACACCTTTTTCAGGTCTGTGCAGAAATCAAAATAGTTATTCATTATATTAATGTTACATGTACATTAAAATAAATTAGTTTTGAGGATTTAATGCAAAATACAACTGTTTTGGGGGCGAATTCCGATTTTCTCAAAGTGGATTCTGCCAATTTCTGGTGAATTTTGTTGTATTAAAGTAATTTAATATTAATGCAAAATGTTAGTAAATAGGAGGGTCTTAAGTGCGACTTCCGATATTTTGAAAGTGAATTCCAGTGTATGTATGTATTATTATAATATATGTTTTCATAGTGAATTCCAGTGATTTTTGGTGTTTTTAATTAATTCATAATTAATATTAATGCAAAATATATGTAAATAGGAAGGCCTTGCGGACAAATTATGGAATTTGCAAAGCGAAATTTGCAAATCATATAATTATGCGGTAAGGCTTCACCTTTATTTCCATGGGAATTGATTTATTATATGTTAAGCTATGTGCAGTACTGTTTTGGGTTAGTTTATGTGTAAATTAAGGGAGCTATAGGCCAGTAACTTTGAGTTATCCTTTTGTAGTCATTTGACTAAAAAACTTGTGCAAAGAAACTCTGTAGGACGAGCCACTACTGTGGCTGGATTAAGGCGGAAGACATCAGTCATTGGCTGGAGTAAGGCGGAAGACATCAGTAGTGGGACCATTTCTAGCTATAACCCTGCAAATCTGGCTTAAAGGAGCTAAATCGCTAACATTTGGGACCTAGAAATTGACAAAAGTGGGTCGCAACGCATATAATACTGTAATATGAATGTATATAAACTGATTTACATTTAATGGTTTCCGTTTTACTCCAATTTCAAATCAGTTATGTTCGGCGAAATGAGCCAGCAGTCTCAAGCGAGTTCAAATTTCTAGCGTCTGGCTATTCCAGTCTACATACGCTGTTTGATTTGGTGCAATGTGTCTAGCCTCGTCCCTCGAGTCTCTTGATACAACTGGGGCTGAAGCGCATTATGGTACACGATTCGTGTACCAATGGTAAAATGTTTATTTTGTCTTAAATATTGGATATCAAAAGCCCATCTTTTTCCGGTAAGATCACAACATGAATGTTGATTTAATTTGACAAATAAATCGTGTTTTCAATGTTGAAGATTTTGGATGATATTGAGTTAGAGACTTAGCTACTTTAAATCTGGCTTAAATCCATAGGCCTACGGCTATAGTGCCTGTGGAAAATGCAAAATGTAATTTAAATTTAACCTCGCAAGTCTGTTCTTTCTATTCTATTGCCATGCTGACAAGTTGTCATCTTGAATGAATAAACGCCCCTATTAAAAAACTTACTATAGGTAAGTGTCACTTGATAAGTTAAACTTAAACAGATGTAGTATTTTAGATGTAATAAGAACTTAATATTCTTCTTCTCTGGAACATGACTTTACAAGTCAAACGGGGATTTCCGGATTGATACTAAAATATCTTCCGTGACACGCAAGACTACAAGGGAATTAACTCTTGGATATTTCATTATTTGGTCTATGGGAGATAACTTTATTAAAAAACCATTCAGTTTATGGACTCAGACTAGCAATTATTTGCCCATTGACTTCAATGTTAATGGCTGTAACATCACAGGCTCTAGCTTTCGCTCAACATTCCGTTGGTTCCAATCTTTATAGGCACAATGGGGACCACATTTGGCAATCTCCTCATCATAATTTTGTAGGGGGTTGACCATTTAGATTTTTTGCTACAGGAATTTGAAGTTGACTGGGGTGGAAATCTCACTTCCGACACAATGATTGCTCTGCAGAAAGATACTTAACACCCCCTATCCCTCCGCTCTAATATCATCAGTATTACCCAAAACTGCCATGAAATTGCAAATGTGATCCCTTTTCTCCAATTCTAGACCAAAAAGTCAACCCAAAAATGCAGGAAAAGGGGAGAAAATTAAGGGAAAAATTGTCTATTTATAACTCGCACTACATTCGTCTATCATGAAATAAGGGAAAATAATTACTAGTCTTAATCCTTATAGTATGGGTGCAGACCTTAATTGATTTGAGCGCAAAGGGCCATGGTACTGACCTTTGATGGTCACAGTTTTTGCAGACCATAATTGATTTGAGCGCAAAACGCAAAGGGTCACGGTACTGACCTTTGATGGTCACAGTTTTTGCAATTTGAGAAAAATTATCAAAGATTTTATGTTTCTCTTATTGTTGCAATTGATGAAAAATTTAGCAGTTGCAAGTTCTGTGCTTTTGATGTTAATTACTAAACATCTGCTTTTGAAAATAGTAGTTTGGAATATTATATTTCTACCTTTTTTTTAAGGGGGTGTGGGACAATACGACACAAAAGTTTTGCTTGTAGTCGTAGGCTACTGGCCTTGAATATAGGGTCGGATTAAGGTTTTGTGGGGCCAAGGCATGAATGCATCCATCCAATACAAAATATCAAAAGAAACAAGCCAACAGTGAGGCTGATGTCCCTCCCCGAAATCCCCAAAAAAATAGATGACACATTTTAATTTATCGCACATTTATTTTTTTCAAAAGTATCAAGCAATCAAACTGATTATCAACTATAAACACTAAGTTTCAACACGCTCTATCAGACAGAATCATGGTTATCTTTTCTTAAAGCATTGACCAATGAAATTGATTAGCTCTGCTTATAGCGTTAGCTCGAAATGTTAATCATTAAACTCAGTCAAGACATTCACCTAATGAAATGAAATGAAATGGGGTTTAACGTCCTACTGTTCTGCATACGTCATACAGTGTGCTATGAGGAAAATTTTGCCCGGATAGCGGCACTATGGCCTACTCTTATACCGAATTCCAACTGTCAAGGGATCTTTTACGTGCACGCCAATGTGTACACGGGACCTTGGTTTTTCGTACCATCCGAACAACTAGACAGCTGTCCTTGTCAGGCCCTCCGTCCTGCATCACTGACAAGGGGAGCCACGGCGGAAAATCGTGATGAACTGTCTCGGCCAATGCAGGGATCGAACACCCAACCTCCACGCTAGCGAGCCAGCGCCTTACCAACTTAGCCACCGTGATCCCCTCAACTAATGAACATCTACATAAAGTTTAAACATTCTACCTCAATTAAACGCAGAGTTGTTATGTTCTAAAGTTTTGACCAATCAAATTGCTTATCTCTCCTTAGCCTATAAGCAGAAAATTCTCATCATCGAACTTAGTCAAGGTAATGATATAATAAATCTATACTGAGAGTTTCATCACTCTCACTTAATTATAACCAAAGTTATCATGACCCAAAGCATCAACCAATCAAATTACTTATCTCTGTTTACCCTAAGCAGAAAATTCTCATCTTCTAACCCCGAACTCCCTAAAGGCATTCACCTAATGAACGGCTACACCAAGTTTGAACATTCTACCTCAATTAGAAGGAGAGTTACTGTGTTTCAAAGTCTCGGCCAATCAAATTGCTTATCGCTCTGCTTATCATGAGCAGAAAGTGCTCATCATCGAACTTAGTAAAGGTATTGATGTGATAAAACTATACACTAAGAGTCCTCACTCGCACTAAATTAGAACTAAAGTTATAGTGTCCCAAAGCATCAACCAATCAAATTGCTTATCTCTGCTTACCCTAAGCAGAAAATTCTCATCATCGAACCCCATCAAGCCATTCACCTAATAAACAACTACACCAGGTTTGAACATTCTAGCTCAATTAGAATGAGAGTTATTGTGTTCCAAAGTCTAGATCAATCAAATTGCTTATCACTCTGCTTACTCTCAGCAGAAAATGCTCCTCATCGAACTTACTGAAGGTATCGATGTAATAAAACTATACACCAATTTTCATCACTCTCACTTAATTAGAACTAAAGTTATCCTGTCCCAAAGCACCAACCAATCAAATTGCTTATCTCTGCTTATCCTACGCAGAAAAAGCTCATCTTCGAACACCATCAAGGCATTAACCTAATAAATCCCTACACCAAGTTTGAACATTTTATCTCAATTAGAATAAGAGTTATTGTGTTCCAAAGTCTTGGCCAATCAAATTGCTTATCACTCTGCTTACCCTGAGCTTAAAATGCTCATTATTGAACATAGTCAAGGACTTCCCCCCCCCCCCCAACCCACACCTCCACCCATATCTCTACGTCTAAAAGAGAGAAATATAGGATGTTGAGTTGAATGTCCACTAACACGAACCAGGTCATTTTGTTAATAAAGTGGTGTAATTTTACTTCAATAATTTGCTTGAGGAATTAAGAAAACTCATTAGGTACGGCAGGTGATCCTACTCAAAACCATGACTTGCATGAATAACATCCTTTAAGATCTATAGTGCATGTGTTTAGACCACTTGGCCTCCCATACTAACTGAACTACAACATGCAGTTGCCATGCAAGATACGCCCACATTCTGCAAGGGCTGGATAAGCTAAAAAAACAAAAAAACTGCATGATTTTTCGTAAAACCAGTGACCATAAACCAGAAAGTTATGGTCTGAAATGTGCGAATATCAATAAAGACTCATATCTTTGGGATATAAAAGTTATGGTCTGAAATTTGCGAACATCAATAAAGTCTCATATCTTTGGGATATAAAGATATATTTTAATTTTCATCAAAATCGGACAAAAATTGTGACCTCTAGAGGGTCCACAACCTTCATATTACATACTTTTACAAAATTTGCATACAAGGAGCAGTCATTTTGTCGGACAGTTTAGTTTTGGTTTTCCCGAAATTTGAACTTGGCCTTCATTATGGTGCAACATTGATTTATTCGAACGTTTTTTTTAAATTGGATAAAAACTGTGACCTCTAGAGAGCCCATACGCCAAAAACATGAAGTTACGGTATGAGATTGAAAGGAACCAAGATCATTGGGTTACAAACATTATTTCAAGTTTCATCAAAATCGGATAAAAATTGTGACCTCTGGAGTCTAGAGTGTCCACAAGCGTACAATCAGAGACCATAATCCTTGAAGTTACGATCCCATACATGTCAAAATTGTGACCCATAGAGTGTCTACAAATAAATTGTGGACGGACCGACAGAGAGGCGACGACAATATAAATCCACAAGAAATTGTGGGCGTATAAAAAGGGTATGTCACCATGGCCAAAGTAAGATCAAAGCTAGGTTGCCAGGCAAGTAAACATATGCCTACAACAGCTAAATTAACTGAGCGGTCAACAAGGGTTGTCACATATTTATTCTTTTGTGGTAATTAGATGCATTTAGATGACAATTTCACACAGATCAGACTATAATTTTTGTCGTTTGAGGGTTCACAAGTCAACAAACGGAAACAAGGGCCTTAACTCTGGAAGTAATTTACAGAAAATTTTGAAATTTGACAGGCTTATTCGTTTTACTGCTTTAAATAATGCATACGAATTTCATACAGACAGGATGATAACTTATGTCATTCAAACGTTCACAAGGTTCACAAAGTAAAACAAGGGCCATAACTCTGGAAATAATTGACGGAAATTGCTGAAATTCAATAGACCGCAGTTTCACAAATTTAAATGATGCATATAAATCTCACACATATCGGATGATAACTTTCATCAATCGAGCATTAACAAGGTTGAACAAAGTGAAACAAGGGTCATAACTCTAGAAGTAATTATCGTATATTGCTGAAATTCAATAGGCTTCGTGTTTCACTTATCTAAAAGATCGGACGATAACATTCGGCATTAAAGTGTTCAAAATATTCAACAAAAGGAAACAAGGGCCATAACTCTAGATGTAATAAACAGAATTTGCTGAAATTCACAAGGTGCAACAAAGTGAAACAAGGGCCATAACTCTAGAAGTAATTAACGGAAATTGCTGAAATTCAATAGGCGTCTGCGTGACACTAATTTCAATAATGCATATAAATTTCACAAAGATCAGATGATAACTTTCGGTGCTAACGCTAGGATTCTTCTTTTTACTAATCTAAATGACGCAGGTAACTTTAGATGTTAGAGTGTTCACAAGGTTCAATAACAGGAAACAAGGGCCATTACTCTAAAATTAATAACCAGATTCTTCTTTTTACTAATTTAAATGATACATATCAGCAGATAACTTTTGATGTTAGAGCGTTCACAAGGTACAACAATGTTATACAAGGGCCATAACTCTAGAAGTAATTAAGGGAAAGTGCTGAAATTCCATAGGCTTCTTCGTTTCACTAATTTAAATAATGTATATAAATTTCACAAAGATCGGATGATAACTTTTGGCGTCAAAGTGTTCACAAGGTTTAATAAAGTGAAACATGGGTCATTACTCTAGATGTAATAAACTGAAATTGATGAAATTCAATAGGCTTCTTTGTTTCACTAATTTAAATAATGCATATAAATTTCATACAGATGGGCAGATAACTTTTGATGTTAGAGCATTCACAAGGTGCAACAAAGTGAAACAAGGGCCATTTCTCTAGAAGTAATTAACAGAAAATTCTACTTCTAACCTTGGAAATACATGTAAAATAACATTGAATGTCAACACCAAATTAAAACTTTATCTCACAAAACATATATATTTACATTTATAATGAATGAATTTTAATAAAATAAAGCTTTAAAAACAAATTGTTACACATATTGTTCCAAAGGATTTCAACATATCTCAATATAAAAATGATCAAGTATATAAGCTTATAAGTTTCTAAGAACCAGTTCTAACATTATGCCTCTCTTGTAATGCCAACTTGTCAGGCAACAAAACATAATCATGCTCAGACACAGTTTAGTCTATTAAAGTTTTGATTTATTTTATATTGCTTCACAATGCAACTATATTTTTGGGCAGTTTGATTTCAAAATTGATTCTGCCACTGATGTGAGTTAACTCTTGATTTATACTATAGAAACTATTGCTAAAACTTGTTTCATAAATCTTAGATCTCAGAGACAATAACATATGAATGGGTGGTGTCAAATTTTGATATGCTTGACCATCTTTGTTAAAATTATTCCCCAAACTCTTCTTTTTAAATGGTCTGCAAGGAAATGCTAACAGACATGGGTGCAGACAACAATCAAATGTTACAAACCAAATAACCTGTGGAACCATGGACCTTATAATACATGTATTATATAAGGTCCATGGTGGAACAAAATAAAGTACATGTACCATATTCTTAAAAGTATATTCCCATGATTGACAATATTAGTAAACACAATTTTATATAGATAACAACTAATGTATTTATTTAAAGCCACATTATGAACAGGATTCTTTTGGTGATTCCTGTAGTCTTACAAATTTTTTTTTTTTTTTTACAAACTGAACAATTCTTTACCGTAATACATTGTGGCATAATGGATAAAAACTATTAAATTTGTAAGTTTATTTCAATTTAAACACATTTTAAGGTTTTAATAGTCTTTCTGCGAATGATTGTTTAATAATATAATTAAATTCTTTCTGCAAATGATTGTTTAATAATATAATTAAATTCTTAAATATATAATGAAATTATGGCAGAGCCATCTGTTAAAGCAATATAAACTTTGGAGGAAGTCTTAAATATACAAGCTTTCATTAATGTAAAATTAAAAAATGTGTAAACTAAAGCATCTCTCTTTAAGTAGGTTTTAAGGTTAGTTTACAATTCATCTGGTAATAAATGTCAACATTACATGCTCTTACTTTTGCTACTGAACTGGTGATGTGAAAGTTCAACATATGCCTCTATACCTTTGATTACACTTCAGCACTTTAAATGTACAGTATTTGTTTTCAAGACCCAAAACAACTGTACATAATTATGACTGAATCCTTAAAGATACATTATGGGAGATTAGATAAAGAGATGGCAGGTCTTACTATAATAGTTAAGAACTAGCTAATATAAAGGCAATTTGCGGAAAATTTCAGTCAAATTGATCCACTCTGAACCGAGAGAGAGAGAGAGAAATGGGTTTAACCTCCACTTGACACAAACTAGGTCATTTCGGGACTAACACATGTTTCAATTGTATTTCAATAATAATTTAGCGGCGGGAGGAAACCGGTGGACACATAAGCTGACACATTAACCGATACATTCGCCAGATTCACCAGTCGATTGCATTACCTTTCACGTCACCTGATTAAACATGGCGTCGATCTACAATCAGCCGAATGCTTCGGCGAAGCACCACACTAGGCGAATATAATTCATTCGGCAGAATGTATCAAACATGTTTGATTCGGGCGAATCATTCGGCCGAATGACACTGGATACACTAGGAGAATTTCGACGCCGATTTATTCGGCCAAATCATTTGGATAGAGTATCCATCGCTTAATGCCATGCATTGTGCTAGGAGGGAAATTTTGACAGGACAGCGGTGCTACAGCCTACTTTGAATATCAACTGTCAAGGGTTCTTTTATGTAAACATCAATATGTACACAGGGCCTCGTTTTTTCGTGCAATCAAATGACTAGACACTGTCCTTGCCAGGCACTATGTTGGAAAATCCTGAGGAATTTCAACCTAGGCCATCACAGGGAGCGAACCCTAGATCTTAGTGTCTTACTCACTGAACAACTACGGCACCAGATAGAACTATGGGTATCTGTAATGAGATAAGTAGACCTAAGCTGATTTGAATTAAGTTGTAATGTAGAAAATTAATTAAAATGATCATACACTCTTTAACCAAGATGAATTACGTTTATGCTTTAATCTGTACTACATTTAGATTCCACTCGAAACAAAAAACCAACAAAAACAACCAATGAATTCAAACAACAATGAACAAATAATGATAAAACAATAACAATTCAAATTTAAAAGGGAATAAAAGTTATGATTTTTTGGATGTTGAATTAGTTTTATTTAATGGATTTTTGTCAAAAATATCTCTTTCTCTTTGTCTCCAAAAATTCAGATTTTTTTGTATGTGCAGGGTATTGTCCCGAACTTGTTCATCAGGTGTACCATAATCTGGAGGATTGGCATTGGGATCATAACCAAGCACTTGCAACATCGGAGCAATAGCTGCCATATCTTTGACCACATCTTCAGGGAAATGTCCCACCCATTTTGATAAAGCTTCTAGATTCACTGGTTTAATAACTTGGTCTGTTGATTTTTCAGTGCTGTAATAAAAAATAACAAATTTATTTATCATCCAAATATTGTGATTTGATAATTATTATTTCAAACAACCACAAGTAGTTTTAAGTAGATTTACTGGGGCCCTCAGTATAAGACACATTTTTAAATATCAGGAGGGGGTCAACAGTATTATAGTGAAGTCATTCAGTCTTGTTCGTACCATGTTATGTATATGAATTGTACATACCATGTTATGTGTATGAATTGTACATGTCCTGTTATGTGTATGAAATATACATACCATGTTATGTGTATGAATTGTACATGTCATGTTATGGGTATGAATTGTACATACCATGTTATATGTATGAATTGTACATGTGTATGAATTGTACATTACCATGCCATTCCACATGTATGGGTATGAATTGTACATACATGTACCATGTTATATGTATAAATTGTATGCGGTCTGAAACAGGTGATGAGATAAAATCAAATCTATTCTCATCTTATGGGAACTCCAAATAACACAGGTTATACTATAGCAATGGGCCCTAACGACAGCAATAAAGTGAAGGTTGTGTTAGACATTACTATTGTAGGGTGGCCCATGTACTCACAGAAATACAGTCCACCGCTGATAGTTCGAGACTACCACTGAAGCGTGCACATTCGCCGTGCCGAGACCAACTTTCTGACAGTATGATACTATAAATAGCCATGGCACATGCAATTCTCTACAAATTTATCAACTATTACAGCCGTAAAAAATTTATTGTTGACGATTTTGAATAGCAGTAAAATTAAGCTTCTTGGTTATTACAGCAGATTTAGAAATTACGTTCGTTTCATTTTTTAAATCGCTTTATCATTAACTGTACCGTTAAGAGCGGCATCTTTTGGTTTAGTACAAATAATATCTCTGAAACACTCAGGTTAGGCAAGAACATGATACTAGCAGTAGTTTCATTTTATTTTTACAAGCTTCTTAAAACGATTGTTGAGCTACCTAACGTGCTTATTTCTAAATTCAATTTCTTGTTCTAGCTTTCTGTTATGTTTCGTAAAAAAGTAGTCTTGATTATCCCGACCTGTCAATCAGACGTAGAATGGTCGATAGACTGGTTAAGCGAGACTAATTTCAAAACAAGGGCACGTAACCTATCTTTTACTCAAAAGTGTCTGGATGTTATGGACGACTCTTGGAACCAGTTTTCAGTCTATTATTTATACGTGATTAATGGCCATAGCTTATTAAGTACAACATGATCGTTTATTTAGTGACTATAATTGTGTGGAACTGATTTGAGGCTTGGCATATATATAAGTATTGTGGCGTAATTGTCGAGATATATGGAGATATTTATTTATGGTGGGTCACCCTAACTATTGCTTTTTTATTTATAATTACCAGTACAGGTAGATGAAGGAAAGTATTAATAATGACCTGCATTTATTTATGGAATTTTCTTTTATTCTTAGAACTCAGCATAAGAGATCAAGATGGAACCTATTTTTTTTTGACCAAGGTATGTCTTAACATATTTCATTAATTCACTTCCTTAGCAGATTTTTTGACAGTACCAGAGAAATCAAAACTTCTGAGGTTAAGGTCTTCACATTAAAAAATTGAGCAAAAAAAATCTCAAAGTAAAATACTTTTTAACTGCAAAATTATTCTTTGAATATTTGAGAAACTATACATGAGATCCATAACAATTAGGGAATGGCAGGTAATCATCACTCCATAACCACAAATAAATTTTGAGCAGATCACAGAAATGTGATTTATGAATATATTGTTACTGTTCAGAGCTTTCATCCTTTATGCTTATGCCAATTTGCTACACAAGTACAAAATTAAATCTCACACATATCCATCTACATGTATATGAAGTTCACATGTACATGTAATTTAAATGATTATTATCTGTTTATTTCACTCTGAAGACGTGGACATAAATTCCACAGCAATCTCAATCGAATGCAAATTCCTAGCGTCTGGTTATTCCAGTCTACATACGCCGTTTGGTCTGGTGCAATATGTCTAGCCTCGTTTCTCGAGTCTCTTGCTAGAACTTGGGCTGAAACGCATTATGGTACACGATTCGTGTACCAATGGTCAAATATTTATTTTGTCTTAAATATTGGATATCAGAAGCCCATCTTTTTCCGGTAAGATCACAGCATCAATGTTGTTTTAAATTGACAAATAATTCGTGTTTTCAATGTTGAAGATTTTGGATGATATTGAGTTAGAGACTTAGCTACTTTAAATAGTAACACTGTAAAAGGTCATATAAAAAAATATTCTTGTTCTCAGACAATCTTTCCTAAAAACCTTATGCTGGAGGGAGGATTTTGTTTTTGTTTTGTGATAAGATCACTACTGGGTTGATTAAAATGTATGTTTATCCCATAGGCCTAGTTATCCAGTATCATTTATGACTGTCAATGGCAGTTACAGGGTTGCATATTTTCCCAATTCATTTCAAAACATTTATAGTGTTTCTTCCTGTAACCCAGGGTCATGCAACTCTTTTTAAATGATGCGCGTGTCTGAGAAGCACAATATTTTTTTGTGTATAGCCTTAAGAAAATGAAACCAACCGTGATAAAGAAATGCCACCAGGTTTTCCCACATAGTCCTGATGATGTAAAACAGAGGCATTCCATGGTATGTCTAAAAAGTTTAATATTCTATGCATCCAAACTTCCGGATGTAACACTAGTTGTTCATAATATACAGGCAAACATCGGGTAGGTCCAACACGAACACACTGAGAATACATTAAATCTACAGCTTGATTCCATCGTTGTAGACATTTTCTAGGATTTTTCAAGTCAAATCCAGATATGGTAACTTTTCTGGTAATAATGGAATTGACAACGGCTCGACCATCACGAATCATGAAAACAAATTTAGCATTAGGAAAGAGATTTGATAAATAAATGGTGGATTTAAGAGTAAATGGATCTTTGTTACAAAGATGTTTAGCAGCAATCCCGTGTTTTGCGATGATTTCAAGAATAAAATTTTGCACAGCCGAGTCCATCACTTCACTTGTTATTCCAGCTTCAGAAAGACGCTTTTTCTCTGTGGGAGATCTTTCCCATTGAGTCCGCATTCCAAGAATCCGAGGGATTATTCTTGTTTCTTCACCACAACGAATTTCTGGATGAGCATCCAGCAAGGCTCTCATTAGTGTTGTTCCACTCCGTGGCATTCCCCCGACAAATATCAAGGGCATAAATTTATCATATGGAATTGCCTTTTTGTCAATACCATACACATATTTAGTCCGTTCCTTAGGTACCATGTAATACTGTGGCCCAGAATCACACGGAAAAGTATTTAAAAATAATAACACAAGAGCACACAAGGCAAGAAGAAATAAAATAATCTTTTTTCTAGTAGCTGAACGAATGAAGACCATTTTCTCCATAAATTTGTATAACCTCTTAATATGTAGATTTAACCAATTTCAATCAGTCCTCTTTGTTAAAACAAATGAGACGATATTTATACAAAAATTAAAAATTTGGCACAAAGTAAAATAAGACTAGAACAAGTAAATCTTTGGTTGGTCCTTGATTTAAAATTGTTTAAATTGTCAGGTTAAAATATATAATCCCATATAGATTATCTTAAAAACAACTAAAATAATGATAAATTTAAAACATTCTATATCCTCGGATTTACAAGTTGGTTGCACTGTGTAAGTAGCTTCAGCTTTGGTATCTTAACTGAAATGATAAAAAAAAAATGTTATTAACTTAACAAAAAGTGAGAATGAAGATATATATATTGTATTAAGCCTGACAAACTTAGTAAATATTATCTGCACAAATGCTACTCTCCCCCCATTAATCAAGTATTCACTTTCAAGTGTCAACATCCAATTTATTGACTTGCTGTTCCTATTCCCAGGTTTCACTTACAATAAAGATAGGTTGCCAAGCAACGAAACATATGCTCACAGCAGCTAAAACGTCCAAGCGTTTGACAAGGGTTGTCACATATTTATTCTTTTTTAGGTAATTGGGGGCATTTACAAGACAATTTCATACAGACCAGATTATAATTTTTGTTGTTTGAGGGTTCACAAGTTTCTACAAACCGAAACAAGGGTCAAAACTCTGAAGTAATTTACAGAAAATTTTGAAATTTGACAGGCTTTTTTTGTTTACCAATTTAAATAATGCATATAAATTTCATACATATTGGATGATAAATTTTGTCATTTGAACATTCACAAGGTTCACAAAGTAAAACAAGGGCCATATGTCTACAAATAATTGATGGAAATTGCTGAGATTCAATAGACCTCCATTTCACAAATTTAAATGATGCATATAAATTTCATACATTTAAATTTAACTCATTTAAACTGTAAGGCCAAATTGAATCAAGACTATGAATCAACAGACTTTCTGCTATGTTCAATTTCTTCTGATCTTTATCAGGATGACCAGGTATATTAAGATAGGTTGCCATGCAACGAAACATACACGCATAGCAGCTAAAACATCTGAGCGGTTGACAAGGGTTGCCCCATATTTATTCTTTTGTAGGTAATTATGGGCATTTATTTCATACAGATCAGATTATAATTTTAGGGTTCACAGGATTCTACAAACTGAAACAAGGGCCTTCACTCTGGAAGTAATTTACAGAAAATTTTGAAATTTGACAAGCTTTTTCGTTTTATTAATCTAAATAATGCATATAAATTTCAAACAGATTGGATGATAACTCTTGTCATTCGAACGTTCCCAAGGTATACAACGTAAAACAAGGGCCGTAACTCTAGAAGTAATTGACGAAAATTGCTGAAATTCAATAGACCTCCGTTTCATAAATTTAAATGATGCACATAAATTTTATACAAATCGGATAATAACTTTCATCAATCGAGCATTAACAAGGTTGAACAAAGAGAAACAAGGGCCATAACTCTATAGGCTTCGTGGTTATACTAATCTAAATGATGCATTTAAATTTCATACAGATCGGATGATAACTTTTGGCGTTAACAAGGTTCAACAAAGTAAAACAAGGGCCATAACTCTAGACGCAATCAAAGGAAATTGCTGAAATTCAAAAGGATTCTTCTTTTTACTAATTTAAATGATGCATATAAATCACATACAGATCGGCAGATAACTTTAGATGTTGGAGCTTTCACAAGGTGCAACAAAGTGAAACATGGGACATAACTCTAAAAGTAATTAACGTAAATTGCTGAAATTCAATACCCTTCTTCATTTCACTAATTTAAATTATGCATATAAATCTCAAAAAGATCGGATGATAACTTTTGCTGTTAAAGAGTTCACAAGGTTCAATAAAGTGAAACAAGGGCTATAACTCTAGACATAATCAACGGAAATTGCTGGAATTTAATAGGCTTCTTCATTTCACTAATTTAAATAATGCATATAAATTTCACAAAGATTGGATGATAACTTTTGGCGCTAGAGCATTCACAAGGTTCAACAAAGTGAAACAAGGGCCATAACTCTAGACGTAATAGATGGAAATTATTGAAATTAAATAGGCTTTTTCATTTCACTAATGTAAACAACATATATCAATTTGAAAACAATTGGATGATAACTTTTCACGTTAGAGCGTTCACAAGAAATTGTGGACGACGGACGGACCGGCGGGAGCGTTGGCAATATTTCCGTCCACATTTCCATGTTGGCGTATAAAAACTAGACCTGCAATGCAGCTAAGACGGGTTTGATTGGTGTCCCTTAACCAGTAACTGGTGTCACTTATGGTACCAATGGCAATGAAACCATTTGATGTATGTCCAGTAATATCAATAAATTTACACACCTATTACTTACGGAAAGATCAGAAACGTTTTCCAATAAACAAGGAAAAGGCAACCCACACTATAATAGTATTATTCAATAAACAAAGAAAAAGCAACCCACACTATTATAGTAATATTTAAATACAAGATTGAAATAATTACTATTTGGAAATCAGTCAACAAATTTGTTTTACATCTTTTAGTTGGTCTAAAAAAAACTTTGACGATCTGAACAAAAATAACATTGTTAAACACTGTAATGCTGTGTGAAACCCTAATAATAATCCAAACAAAAACATCCCACAAGCAACAGTGTAAAACTCTAATGAAATAGACATAAAAATATAATGTATTTTAGAAGCATTAACAGTTTATATATCAAGAGAACATGATAGTAGATCATGAGTAGGACTTTATTCTGATATGTTCAGGGTTTTCAAAAATTATCATTATATCATTATATTGCAAAACGGATCTTCTTCAAAATGTTTTGCATCAATATTTAGAATACTGATATTTTTTTTCACTTTGCTTTCAGATAGATTGATATTTTTAATTGTCAAACAGTGGTGATTCATTTACAAAATATGCCCCTGGAAGCCACAATCCCCATCAATGATTATCATCCAAAAGAGTGTGAAAAAAAAACCCCTTTAACTACAGATAAATTTCAGCTGTATATATTGATAAGAGAGAGAGAAGAGAAAGAGAGAGAGAGAGAGAGAGAGAGAGAGAGAGATATGGCATTTGACATGCACTCAGTTTTAAATATGTAATTTCAAGACTAGTATAATGTACATTTTTATTTCAATAATTTGTTGTGCATGTTGTGCATATTAGTCTTTAGAAGTGCGAGGAAACCTAGGCAACTCCTTGTCATATACAAGGTTTGGATCAAACGTCTGACCTTACGATCTACAGCACACCCTCCCAAATATACTTTTACCTTAATATACAGGAAAATGTCACCTTTAAATATTGAAAAATTCCTTCCTTAATCTTTCAGCATGATCTTAGCAACAAGTTCTGACTAAATCTATTCCTGTTTATTATCTGTCATAAAAACTCGGTAGAATATTTCCAGATTAAAGAATGCAAAAATAAGTTTGACATTTCAAGAAGAATGTAGCCTACACAAAAAACGTCCTACAAATTATGGCTATATCAACATAAAATGACAGACTGTAGCAACATTTCACATAAACCTAGCCTGCTGTTCTAATTAAACATCTTTAAACTTTTCCTACCTGACAATTACATATGGGTCAAACATTTCCTTTCCTTGTTTACAAATTCTAGTTATGTTCTTCACTGTTTATATAGCACGTATATTCTTATTACATCTTGATACTAGACATTACATAACACCTTATCTTTTCATTACCGAATTGGTACAGTATCAAAACATGAGATATAATTACTAATTTACTATCAAATTATAACATCCCCTCATTATTCATATATCAACAAATTATATATAATTAGTACCAGGTATGTCGAACACATACTTCGAAATCCTATCAAAAATTTCACCATTACTAAACTAAAACCTTAGTTATTATAATATTATAATGGTTACCCGGTATTTATATATTTTTAAAGATAACAATTTTTTTTTAACAAGTATATCAAGTAAATAATAGGCAACATTGAAATGGACTCTTCCATTAAAGCAAACATATGCTCAAAGCCATTAAAAACGCAATGCCTAATTCGTGAAATATTTCCGGTAAACGTTTTCTTGGCCTTTCCTGTCTTACGGCACATGGTGAAACTTGTGATGGGTCTCTTTTTTGTGGATTCTGGGTTTGAACCCAATATCAGTTATCGGTAATCAACTTTGTTCTTGCAAACGCAAGACTTGTCTTTTTTCACGATTTTAAGCAGTCCCATGTCACACGTTTTGCACGTGCATTCCCTGCACTCTGGTCCTTTAAATACAGATCAAAATTTCAACATTCATCACTATGGAAAAATGACACGCCTTACACAAGAAAACAGGAACAAAGCTATTGGCATGCTGGATCAGGGAGCTTCACAGGTAGCCATCGCCAGACACTTAAATGTCCACCAATCGACCATTGCTCACCTCAGACAACGCTTGCAAGCCACTGGAAGAGTTGCCAATCGACCCCGACCTGGAGCGCCACCTGTAACAACTGTTGCTCAAGATCGCCACATCCGACTACAGCATCTGCGCAACAGGTTCCAGTCAGCTACTACTATTGCCAGGGGAACTGTTGGAACATGGCAACGTCAGATCAGCCCTCAAACAGTCCGAAGGCGTCTGGCTACTCTTGGGTTGCGCTGTCGTAGACCTTACCAAGGTCAAATCCTTTTGCATCGTCATCGACTTGCCAGATAGCAATGGGCTGCAAATCAGGGGCATCTGCACAACACACCATGGCGAAATGTCATCTTCTCGGATGAATCCCGATTTAACCTCAGTTTTCCTGATGGACGTCACCGTATCTACCAACATTGAAATGAACCCGATCGAACGCCTGTTGCAGAGTTGGCACAGGCACTCCAAAATCATTGGCAAACAATCCCACAGCGTGTAGTGAGATATGTGTGCCAGTCCATGCCAAGGCGACTTCAGGAATGTGTAAGAGCTCAGGGTGGACATACCCGATATTGACTTCATATGACCCCTGCTTTATTTCATGGTTATGTGAGGTTTCGGTTTTGTGCATTTGTAGTGAATTCTTTCATGAAATAATTATCCACAGATTATTGTTATCACGATTTTGTCAATTGTTATGTACATTTGTTAAAAGTTGTTGCAGTAAATAAACTTTGAATTTGGTATTGTGTTTTAATGGCTTTGAGTGTATGATTATGAACTGTTTAGGTTTTTTGACCAGGTTGTACAAAGATAGGCTGCCAGGATACAAAACATACATTACACACGCAGAA